GGGGGAACAAGGATATTGATGATGTGAAATCTGGAGCGAGATGTCTTTGTGGTTATCCGTGGCTTCCGTCCCTGCCGCCACCTCTTCGAGGTGGTTACAAGCTACCTTATAATTTCTACTTTCTCGACAAGTTACATTATAATATTACTATACAACTATTATATCTACTATTTCGCGTTCCTAATCGCTTCTACGTGTATCTATCGAATTTCTAACAATGCCTCGAGTCTGTAATACCGCTAGTACGCGTACACGTCGCCCTATCGCGAAAATAACGCCCTACGCGTACGAAGAGAACCGGATTTAGGCGGTTTTAGACAAGATAATAGCCTTCTACTAAGAGCACGACGATTACGTACCTAATATTAAACAATAGTCTACCGACGAGTACGTTAACTATTAGAAGCTTCGCTTCCGATATCTAAACGCTATAGGTCGTCGTAGTAGTCGTAGTGCGCTTATATAGCGACAAGCACTAAACGCAAAGATAAAGCCTACTTAGTAAACAGCCCTTCTCGAATACTACTATAGGCGCGAGCTTATAGGCCTAGATATTCCTATATGCCTATTGTACGTTGTTGCTAATAATATCCTTCTTCGCAACGTACTAGATCTACTAAATCTACCTTTAGTAGATAGGCGTTAGACTAAGAGGTTTATAAAGGAATACGGGCTTTACTAGGTACTATAAAAGTCTATTAAAATAGCAAGGAAGGAGGCCTATAAACCTAAACGGATAATACGCTAGTATATACGGTTACGAGAGACAATAGCATACTATAAGATCGTAGATCTACGTCTTATTTAGAACTTCGACGAGACTAGTTTCCGCATTAGAATTAGAGGTAAGGAATATATCGTTATAATAGACCTAAAGCGTCGTTCTTAGAGCGCTTCTAAGACTAATAGGAAGCATATAACTTCAGTTATGCTAGGCACACGGTTACAGTACGAAGGTATCGTAACGGTTATATAGTACAAAAGTTAATGCATTCTCTAAGGTACCGCGAGGCAAGCTATCTATATAATAGTCCTACTATTAGTAGCAATAGCGACCGTAGCGGTCGATAGTAACCGCTGCCTACTATCGTATATGCAATAGTGTTATATCGTAACAGCCTCCCCCCCTATAAAAAAGGTCGGTACTGTCTATAGTATCCTAAAACAAAGGTCCTTAGTAGGCCGTACCGTAGGAAGGTTTAAGGCAAAAGAGCGTAATAGCGTCGCATAAAGGCTAAGCCTAAACAGTATACTAGAACGGTAATGCTAGGTATAGAATCGTGTCTCTCTAGTAATAACTGCGTCGGTTTTATACCTACTTATTACGACGGTTACAAAGGGCGTCGCGTAAGCTAGTCGGTATAGTCTAAACCGCCTTTAGCTGCGGCTACGGCGCGACGGTCTTTATAGTCTTGTTATCGGACAGCGAGGTGTTAACTGCGTCCGCTATAGTAGTAGCGCGGTCTAACTAATCGATAGGGATATTAGGGAAGTCGGCACCTAGCAATAGTAGCGTATCGGCGTCGCGTATAGTACCGTATAGCTTAAAGTAGTCGGCTATCTATGCGTTAAGCTTCGCGATCTCATCCTTAGTAGTATTGCCTTATACGCCGCCGAGCAGCTTAAAAGCGTCTTCGTAGATTAGGTATAGTATAGGGATTGCCTATTACGGCGCGACGCGTAAGAAATCGTAGTAAAGATAGGTTAGCGATAGCGTAAGCGACTCCTTTAAGACCGTAGCGGAAAGACGACACTACTAGGCTATCTAGCGCTTAGTTACTTCGCGGATCTGTGCCTTAGCTAGTATCTATTAAAGCTAGTATACCTCGGTTACTACTAACTCAGACTAGCGTATATAGTAGAGAGCTTATAAGTTAAGCGTGCGTATACTAATTGCCGTTATATTGTATTAGTATTGTCCGTAGGCGCCTATAGTATTCTTTTATAGGGCGGGCAAAGGTAGTAAGCGTATCGGAAGCGATAGGAGCTTATACTATAGCTACGTAACCGTATTGTTAGGCGGTAGTAGCTAAGCCGCAACTAGAGCCTTCGTAGGCGTAGAGAATAGGTTAGACGGTAGCGGCATCTTCGACGGTAGGCGAGGCGCTAAGAACGGGCTAGCGGTTAGCTTCTAGCGAGTATTTAACTTAGTCGATAGTAATACGCGCGAGGAATTTAGCTAGATCGCCTTAGTTAGCGGGGCAACGGCTAGAGGTTGCGGCTTAGCCCGAGTCGCGAGCTTAGGAGGGATAATTTTACTAAAGAGGCGCGCGTTAGTAAGGTCGGTCTCGTCTAGCGAGTAGTCGGGTAACGGCACTAGGAATGCGCCTATAGGATCCTAAGTATAGTCGATGTTGTACTACTAGTAATTCTTATTCGTTACTATCTTATCGTACTTAAAAATGGTATTGCCCTATATAATACGCTCCTAGACGCCTAATAGATCGAAGACTAGATCGGTAGCGGCCGTCTACGGCAACTTATAGAACTGTAGCGTTAGCGCGGGCTACAATCTATTAGGGATAGCGCCGTCCTTAAGCGTCTAGATATAGGCAATAAAGGTAGATAAGGCGTATACCGGATCGATTTACGTTAGCTAGCAGACTAGGCTAAAGTCTACTAGGCACTAACGGTTAAGGAGCAGTAGAGGCATGCCTTTGCCCTTGTTAGCGGCGTAGGTACCGTTCTAGTAGCGACCGCTACTTGTAAGCTAAGCGTACTATTCCGTACGCGACGTATTAGTAGCCTTCGTGTCCGCAAGCGCCTTATTAGTACAAAGGGCGGATGTGTAGCCCTCGCCGCGGAGCGTATAGGCGTTACGGACCGTAATATACCGCTAGGTATAAGCGACGACGTCCTAGGTAATAGCTAGGCGACCTAGGTTGCGACGGTATAGGTAGGGCAGACTACTAGAGTTTAGGGAGGACTTATACTACTTATAGAGCTATATAGCCGACTAGGCACTAAGCTCTATACCGATTAGTAGTAGCTAAACGGTATAGTCCTTAAGCTAGGAGTCTAGTAGAGGTAGGCGCACTATTAAGAGTCGTCCGGTAGCTACTATCTATAAGAATTAGACTTCGCCGTAGGTAGTTAGGTCGATCTTATAATGCTTAGTCGCTCCGACGTGTTTACTAACAGGTCGCTTGCCCGTCTTTTAGTATTCCTTACCGTAATCGCGGTAGGAGACATCCTTACCGTTCTCGCTACGCTTATATAGGACCGGGTAACCGCCTACTATAATGCTATCGCGATATTCTTTTAGGACGAAGCAGTAGAACTACTCTTATACGAGGTCGACCGTCTATAGGAAGTGTAAGATAGCGCGTACTATAAGACTAACGGCTCTATTACGGATTAGAGACGGTGCTAGCTAGAATCGTAAGTCGCTAGTATAGGTGCTTAAGCCGAGGAAGTTCTCGCGTAAGCGGGTAATGTTTGCTAGGAGTCGGTGCTATAACTTCGCGTAGTAGAAAGTAACAGTTAGTAGAAAATTCGTATCGAGGTTAGCTAGGTTAGGAAGCTCCTTTAATTCGCCCGCCGTTATAAGCGCTACGTACTCGCTAAAGCGTATCGCGTAAATCTCCTACTACGTATCGTAACCGTCCGAGTAGAGGTTAGTCCTAAAGATAGAGTATTTACGAGCGAGATCGTCGTTTACGATTCGGAAGGAGCACGGTTACGTAAAGAGTAGGTTTTCAAAATCGGTAACTAGCTTGCCTATATACTAATGCAATTCGCGTAGAATCTAGAAGCGCCGATCGCTAGCTATAAGGTATAGATAATGTAGGTAATGCTAAAGCCTTACTAAATAGTGTTCGACTATTCGCTTACATAGGCGTAGGCGAAAGAGATTAGGCAGCCGACCGTTAGCGTCCTTAGCGTACGCGTTGTATACGAGCTTCGCGGCCTAGATAAAGCGTACGTCTCTATTCTTGTTACGCTCTATAGGATTAGCGGCGATTAGCGTATCGACTTTCTTATTATAGTCCTCGTACTCTACGTACTACCGGATTGTAGCTTATTCGGGCGTCTCGTTAGCGCGAAGGAGACGCTTATTAATCAAAGTCTAGCGCGCGCGCTAGCCTCGAAGCCGCTACCGCTCGAACTTAAGTTCTTTAGGGAATAGGACCGGAGGTTCTTTAAAAACCGACTCGATCGGAGTAGCTAGGAGCTTAGGAGGAGCTAGCGCGGGCGCTTGTAGCGAGCCGTTATTCGGCGCCTGCGTTAGGGAGGCGGTTGCCTATAGTAGCGGTAAATTAGGAAGTATACGCGCTAGCGGAGATAGTAATTCTAGTAAAGCCGGTCGATTTGCGGGTATTATTAACGGTAGTGCCGATTCTAAAGCCGAAGGCGTATTAAGAGGCTACGCGCTAACGGGATTAATCGGGCCGCTTTCCGTACCGTTAGCCGGGCTACTAGA